TAAATTGGATTCAATTTAGAAAATCAATCTGTATCTAATATCCCAAATACATGTATTCAATATCCCAAATATTGTATTCAAGGGGCGCTGCAGAGGAAGATTTTGTGTCATATGTGGACAAGCGGTGCGAGGCAAGGGCGTCTCTCGTCGGGGGTTGCTGCAGGACTACCCCAAATACCATTAGAGTTATTTCCAAGGTTCTCTTCAAAAGGTTTCACATGGTACTTTCCAAGGTTCTCTTCAAAAGGTTTCACATGGTATTTTTGGGGCTAAATATGTTGAGAGTTATGGAACTAAAATGATTTGTTTTATAAGTTGTTTTTCACAACAATTGTAATAGTGTTATATAGTGTTCCAATTCTCATACATGGTACTTTTGGCATCTCAATTTATGTGATCTTGTTTTCTTTTTAGTCTGTTGTATTCAAGTTTTTAACTATTCTATTTTACTCTTAATAAGTATAAAATGTATACCTATATATATATACACACACACGTATTAGAGAAAATAGACAAAAGCCCCCTCAACCTATTAGTCAATTCTCAACTACACACTTATTCTATGCGTCCTATTACCCCCCTGAACTATTTAAATATGGAATAATCACCTCCCTAAAAAGGCATAACCAGTTTTATGACAAAACTGTGCAACACACGCGATGAATCACTGTACATTCATTTTTTTTTATTCTTTTTCTTCTTCTTTTTTTCCTTTAAATTATAAGTCTAATTAAAATAATAATTTAATAATCCCCTGTAAAATTATGTAAAGTTTCCATTTTTATCAAACCTAGAAATTGAAATTTACAAAAAATGCTTTCAAATAGAGATTATTTTTCCAAAATACTAATTATTTCTTTAGAGAACAATAAGAGAAAATGATGAAAAACTCTCTACACCAAATTAAAGAAGAAGAACAACTCCATAGCTAGTCCACAGAAACTTTCAATTTGAAATCCAACCCAAAAATCAAAATTCCACAAATTAGTATTCACAAATGTAGGAGTGAAAAACAAATTTGGTAAGAATGAAATTAGAAAGTGAAATTTCAAATTTACCATTGTTGGTTCAATGTGGTTTGACTTCTTTTTATTTATTTATTTTGCTGAAATTAAAGGGTTTAAGAAAAAACTTGAACTCTATTTTTTGAGCTTCATATATGAAAGTTTCTTATGAGTTAGGTGATTGTTGTTACTAAAATCGGTTGATGTATTGTTAACTAAGCATAAATCAATTGCTATAAACTGATTTGGAGCTCCTAGCGACGAAATTTAGAAGACCATCACTGAAGGACTTCGAAAAAAACTTGAAGAAATTATGAAATATGTATAACCATTTTGTGATATAAGAAAAGGGAAAGAATTAAAAAAAATGAATTACTTATATAATCTCCAATGAGATACTGCCACATGGATTATTTAGTCATTTTATGTCTTTTTGTTGAACCCTTACGCGCCTACAAGAGGTGTATTCACCTTCTTGGACAGGTCAATGTTTAAGGGTCACAAAATATCAAAAATAAAAAGTTCAGGGAGGGTAATAGGGTCTCCATAAAGTATAAGTGTGTAGTTGAGAATTGACTAATAGGTTAGGGGGTATTTGACTATTTTCTCCTAGAAATTACATAATAAATTAGAATTGTCTTTGAATTTTTGTGAGTAATTTGAAATGAAAAAAGTGAATGAAACTTTTTCGATATCTATAATCAAACATATTTTTCGAAATTAAACTTCGGAAAAAAGTGAAATTTTTTTATTGGCTAACTGCAAACGCCATCTTATACCTTGTTTGAATGGTTGTTACCCATTGTATGGTATTACATCATTAGTTTAAATATCATATTTGTTTTCATTGTTTTTAAAATTGTTTTGTATCGTATCGTTTTAATCCGGTATTAGATAATAATGGAAAGTCTAATTTTTTGTAATAACCAATTTGGTATGATTGCAATGTCACCTTAATATATTCTTCTCATTTTATCATATATTTTCATATTAGTTCTATTTGTATTCTATTTTCTTCTAGATTTATCATTTAAATTATTAAAGTGTGATATTACGAGAAGGATGGAGAATGATACAATATATCTGAACATGCCCGTCATGTAATACCGCGCTGGTTAAACGTTGAGTTCTCATCAATGGAGTTCATCAGCAAGAATGGTGTCAGTTGTAAGCTCTTGAAAAGCTGAATAAACACCTCAAATAGCAATGGCAGCAACCATAAATCTATCTCTTTCTCCACTTCTCTCTACTACACAAACTCAATCGAATCGAATATCAACAACAACTGACTTAATAAAATCCTGCAAAAATCTGAACGAAATCAAACAACTACACGCCCATTTCACAAAACAGGGGTTCAATCAAGACCCTGGTTTTCTCGGTAAACTCATTGCTAAATGCTCCGAATTGGGTTCCTATAATAGCATGGAGTACGCACAAATAGCTTTTGACAGTTTCTGTAGTAGCAATGAAGAAGGTTATGATAATTCTTACAAGTTCAATTCTTTGATTAAAGGGTACTCTTTAGCGGGTTTGTTATATGATGCTGTATTGATTTATGTAAGAATGGTTGTTGAATGCGTGGAACCTGATCGGTATACGTTTCCTTTGATTTTGAGTGCTTGTGCGAAGGATGGGAGATTTTCTATAGGAATTCAAGTTATGGGTTTGGCTTTGAAATGGGGTTTTGGTGATGATGTGTTTGTTTTGAATTCTGTGATACATTTGTATGGTGAATGTGAGGAGGTGGATAAAGCAAGGAAAGTGTTTGATAAAATGTCTGAGAGAAATTTAGTGTCTTGGACTTGTTTGATTTGCGGGTATGCGAAGAGTGAGAAGGCTGAAGAGGCAGTTTCTTTGTTTTTCGAGATGATAGAGGAGGGTGTTATGCCGAATTCTGTGACAATGGTGTGTGTGATATCGGCTTGTGCAGAGTTGAGGGATTTGGGATTGGCGGAAAGAGTGTGTAGTTATATTGGGAAGACGGGATTGAAGGTTAATAGTGTTATGGTAAATGCTCTTGTTGATATGTATATGAAATGTGGATCTATGGATAAGGCAAAAAGGCTTTTTGAGGAATGTGTTGATCGTAATTTGGTACTTTACAACACAGTTTTATCAAACTATGTGCGGAATGGGATGGTAAGGGAAGCACTTGAGGTCTTGGGGGAAATGCTATCCTGTGGAAGACCTCATCCGGATAGAGTAACTTTGTTGTCTTCTATATCAGCTTCTACAGAGATGGCTGATGTTTTCTTAGGAAAGCAGTGTCACACTTATGTTTTGAGGAACGGGTTAGAGAATTGGGATTCCATTGGTAATGCTATCATTGATATGTACATGAAGTGTGGGAGTCAAGAATGGGCTTGCAGAGTTTTTGATCAGATGTCAAACAAGACAGTAGTGTCATGGAATTCACTTATTGCTGGCTTTCTGAGAAATGGTGATCTGGAGGCAGCTTGCAGAGCTTTCCATGAGATGCCTGAGAGTGATCTTGTGTCATGGAACACCATGATTGGTGGTTTGGTACAGCAGAGCATGTTTGAGGATGCAATTCATCTATTTCGTGTAATGCAGAATGAGGGGATTAAAGCAGATAGAGTGACAATGGTCAGTGTTGCATCTGCCTGTGGATATTTAGGTGCTAATGATCTTGCTAAGTGGATATATAATTACATTGAGAAGTACGAAATTCGTCTAGATATGCAGCTAAGTACCGTGCTTGTTGACATGTTTGCTAGGTGTGGTGATCCTGCAAGTGCGATGAAAGTGTTCAACAAAATGAAAGAGAGGGATGTCTCTGCCTGGACTGCAGCGATAGGGGCCATGGCTATGGAAGGAAATGGTAGGCAGGCAGTCGAACTATTCTATGAGATGCTTCGGGAAGGGGTGGAACCTGATCAAGTTGTGTTTGTGGCTGTACTGACAGCATGTAGCCATGGGGGCTTAGCAGGAGAAGGAATGGAAATTTTTGCGAGTATGAAAGAGATCCATGGCATCTCACCACAGATAGTGCATTATGGGTGCATTGTTGATATGCTTGGTCGTGCTGGCTTATTGAAAGAAGCTCTTAATATAATAAAAAAACATGCTAATGAAGCCCAATGATGCAGTTTGGGGGGCTTTCCTTAATGCTTGTAAAATGCACAAAAACGAGGAGATTGCAACTTATGTTGTTGATATGATCTCTGAATCATCCCCAGATAAAGCTGGGATCCATGTGCTTCTTTCAAATATTTATCCTTTGGGAGGGAAGTGGACTGATGTTGCGAAGGTAAGGATGTCCATGAAGGAAAGAGGGATAAAGAAGAACCCCGGTTCAAGCTCAATCGAGGTGATGGGGATCATTCACGAGTTTACTTCAGGTGATGAGTTTCACCCAGAACACACACACATTTGCCTAATGCTAGACGAAATGAACTGCAGGGTTAGAGAGGCAGGTCATATCCCTGATCTAACAAATGTTCTGATGGATGTTGATGAACAAGAGAAAGAATTCTTGCTTAATCAACACAGCGAGAAAATAGCCATGGCATATGGACTCATTCATCTCTACATCTCAGGGACATCCCATTCGTATAGTGAAAAACCTTCGCATGTATGCTCAGATTGCCATTCATTTGCAAAATTTGTTTCAAAAGTAAATCACCGGCATATTGTTGTCCGAGATAACAACCGTTTCCATTTTTTCCAAGGAGGGTTGTGTTCTTGTGGTGATTATTGGTAACTAATTAAGCTGCATGATGTATATGTTTGTACAATATTTTTACTTGTGTAATGACAGATCAATTCCCTTTATCCTATTCCTGAACTGTTAGAAAGAATCTAACAACCCAAGACATTTCTGATTTGTTATTTTGCATTTCATAAAGTCCATAACCACAAAGAAGATGGGAAATTTGATCAATAAGATAAACTCATAAGCATTCATAAGATAAACATTTTTCAAAACATACATAGTTCAGAATTCTAGACCAAGTCCATATATAGGATGGATTGGTATTTGCAGCAGAATCTATTTGGATGGATTCTTCAACTCTGGGAAAATTGCATCAATATAAACATGATACATGGGATCACCATGCCAGAGCCTAGCAATGAAAAAAGGAGATGTAGTATTCCTATGCATTTCTTCTACAAGCCAAATGCTTGCTTCGGCTTTGGCTGGATCGATAAGTGTATCCAATGGGACGTCTTCATCATTGGCCCCAATCCTCAAACGATCCCACTGCTTCATGGAGAGGTTGGTCAGGTAGTGCAGCGGTTGCCCATATAACTCCTTCATTGATGCAGCCAACCCCATCCATGAGTTACAAGGAATCATAGAGGACCTCCTTGTGGGGAGAGGAACCATCTGCATGTACTCTTGGTACATTCTCGCTTTTCTGAGTATAACATCTGCATTATAAACCCCACATGTAAGCAAACAAAAAAGGTAAAAGTAAGTAGGAAATTAAAAGGAAGGTAGAAATAATCTATACTTAAGTCCTGATCGGCCATGAAAAGCAAAAAGAAAATAAAAAACAGTTGAACCATTCACAGAAGCTTAGCTCCTTCTAATTTCTTTCTATGCTTACACTCGAAGAGAGGATTTCTTATATATAGGGGAGAGTAGTCAGGTGGTGGAGAATAACGTGACATAAGCGATAAAACTAGATCACGTTTTTTATATGTCCTCTTTTGGATGATTCTGTGGAACATAATCATTGTCATATCACGAGGAAAATAAGAGCTACGAATTTTCTATTTTAATTGTTTAGATCAAATATTGCGAAATGTGTGTTAAAGCATCAAATTAGTATTCTCAAATCAAGTTATCAACTTCTTGAATTAAGTTTTATTATTTTAATTTTTTTAGTTTTAGTTTTCATTTAAGACTTATTTTATTTTAATAATTTACTCCATAATATATTCATTATTTTTAACTATATATTACAATATAAAATATTCAACCAGATAATATGAATTCGATCGTTTAAAAAAATATTTTTTTAACACAATCTCAAAAAGAAGCACTTGAGAAAGTTGATGAAACATCTAAAACAATCATGACTTGTATTATCGGTCGTGATTTGTTGGGAATCCTCACAAGTCAAAATATGGATGAGTTACCAAGTTTCCACGTGTTATTTTGGGGCTGATTTAAAGTTTTGATGATTTAACAAACTTCCGAATCTAACAAAGGACTTGGTCGTGGAAAGACTGCGTACGTGAAATAGACAAAATACAATTGTTTTAAAAGTTGCCACAACTTCCAAATCTGTTGTGGCTGGTGCATGTCTCTTCATAGCAGCAGGCTCAGCCCATAGCTTTGCTCCAAGGGTTTGTGATCATATCATATTAGTCTTCGTCCAAAATGATACTACCCAAGTTTTGACAAAGAAGCTTATGAATTCTGAAAATTCATAAGCTCACAATGAAAAGGCCATCTTCAAGGAAGTACACTGCTCATACTCAACAAGGGACCTGTTGGAATGTTGAAGCGTCACTTGTTGTATTTTGAGCTTTGTGTCTTGTGTTCTTATATTATAAATCTACTCCTAAGTTATACAGGACAGTAGATCGGTTGCTTGTCTAAGTCTTTAGGTTGAGTCGGATTAACTAGAGCTAGTTAGTCGAATCATCTAATGTTTTGGTCAAGCCTCTTTACATCATTGTTTTGATGTTCTCCTGGGTAGAGTTGCCTAGGAGTGTCAACTAGAGTTAGTTGATGTGTGGGTGCATCAGAGTTGTTGCTTGTTTATGCTCCTATATTTGAGATTTGAGTTGGTGGCTAGAGTTAGCCTTTGTTGGGTTCTTGAAGTCTCTATCAACTAAAGTTAGTTGGTTTAGTGGGCAATAGAGTATTGCTTAGTTTTCTTTGTAGTAGAGTTGCTACAGTAAGGGGGAAAAGATTAATGAGTTTTAATTCCTAGGTTGCAAGAATTTTTAATATGAAGTTGTGCTCTGTTTTGAGTGAATATAGAATGAGTTGAAATCATGTGAGTACATGTCGTGGTTTTCACCTCCCTTGAGCAAGGGGGTTTCCACGTAAAATCCTTATGCTAGATTTACTTTGAGTTATTTATTTTCCACACTATTATTCTATCGAGGGACCTGGTCCAATGATCACTAGTGGACGCATACATTCTAACACCACGAGGACAAGCTAATGGACTAACATGCTAATTAAGAGATGCAAAGCATGTTTTTTATCTTGTAAAACCTAGCTGTTAAGGAGGAGGACAAGCTAATGGACTAACATGCTAATTAGCACCCTTTATGGGTTGACTCGACCCAATAGATATTTCCAACAGTATTTAACTGGAATGGCAAAAATAAAAAAATATGCTTGTTATCCTGCTTTATGTAACATTTTTCTCTCGAATAGTTGGTTAGATTATCATTACATGGAAGCTGGTGCCAACATTATAATCTCTTCATCTTATAATGTTGCAATGAGCTTATGCATTTCCTTTTATTGCTCTTTGGCTTAGATAACTAGTAATACTCACATTGGTGGTTTAGCTTTCATTTCCATGAGACAGGCAACCCTTCAGGGATTTGAAGCCAAGGGAATTTCAAGGGAAGAAGGTGAGGCATTGCTCAAAAGAAGCGTGGAGATAGCATGTGAACCGCGAAACATATATAACAACAAAGATTCCAAAGGTTCTTGAGATGATTTTGATGATGGAACCGATTTGTAATGCAATCCGGTCTTGGTTGCATCATTTGTGGAAAGCTATGTAGCTTATTTGGTTGTTGGTTCTGAATATAGGTAAATTAATGTTCAACGTCTGACGAGCACAAACACACTATAAGTTCTGATTCACTAGTCAAAGATAGTATAGTATAAAGATCGTCTCCACAGGGATTGGTACAAATAATAATTCAAGCAAATATTGCTAACTATTATTCAGGTAATCAAAAAAAAGAGTTGGTGGTGGTTATGAAACACGTTTATAGATTAATGATAATTTAAAAAAATTGATAACTATAAAGTTTGATATCAATAATAAAAAATAGGGTAAAAGATGAAAGAAGTGCATAATTATAGTTGGAATTTGACCACATTCATTGATTACATCTAAAGTTCCATCGATTCTCTTGAATTTGATAGTTGATTAGAGTATCATTAAGATTGAGATGTCTCTTCCGAGTAAATCTCAAGTTAAAGAAATAAGCTAATTATTGTTAGGGTTTTTCCCTGACTTTCTTTCTTTATTTGAAGTTTTTTTTTTCTTAAAAAAAAAGTCAAAGTATTGCCATAAATGCTTAAACTTTTTCTGAAAAGAAAATATAATTTTCTTTTCTATTTGGTTTATTCTTTCCTTAAAGGAAAAGTTTGGAGATCTATAAATTGAAGACCTCTCTTCTCATATCAAAACACAAAATAAAATTCACAATGTAGTCGTTTAAGAGTCTTGTTTATGGAAAAATTTTCTCCTAAACATATTTATATTTTTTTAATATTAGTTTTCAATATGTAGGTCGTTTGACCGAATCTTATTAATAATATATCTTTAGTATACTTTTATTTGTCGTCTGATTTATCAACCATATATGATTTGCAATTGTAAGCTTCCGCATGACACCCTAATCACCTTTATAACCCAACAAGTGGTATCAGAGCACATGGTTCAAAGATCCGATGGTTCAATGATCTAATGCTTGAATAAGGTTGAAGACAAGCTCAAGTGGTTTCAAATCAATTTGTAACTAATTTGATGATAAAGAAAATTTTTGTCCAGCTACATGTGGAGAAAAGATTAGAACCATATTTTCAACATTCTTGTTATTGCATCTTCGAAAATAAAAACAAAATATTTTAAAACCATTTTTAACCCATATATTTTAAACTTTATTTTTAACCATGACAAGCAGCAGTGATGAAGACTATGTGAAGAACGAAAATTATCCTGCATGTGAAGAAGGTGGATCAAGTTTTGTCAAGAAAATCCAGCCAAAAGGGGAAATTTGTTAGGGTTTTACCTTGATTTTCTTTCCTTATTTGAAGTTTATTTTTTTCCTTAAAGAAAAGTCAAAGTATTACCATAAATGCTTAAACTTTTTCTGAAAGGAAAATATAATTTTCTTCCATATTTGGTTTATTCTTTCTTTAGAGGAAAAGTTTGGAGATCCATAAATTGAAGATCCCTATTCTCATAGCATAACACAATTAGAATTCATAATGTAGTCGTTTAGAGACTTTTGTTTATGGGGAGATTTATTCTCTCAACAATTTTAGTATTTTTTTTATATTAGTTTTTCATATAATAATATTATGTTTTTTGTTAAGTTTTTTGTCATCTAATTTATTATCATATGATTTGCAAATTATAAACTTCCACATGACGCCCCAATTCACCTTCATAACCCAACAATTATAACCCAGTGATCATGATATGTAAGAACATGTTTTGGATTATTCTTAAGGAAGTAATGTCCTTCGACTATTTTTCCTAGAGATTCAATAAATAACAATTATCAACAAGCTTTTTTGATTACTTTCGAGAAGATATATTGATTCAAACCGACACAAGATTATGCAATAATATTCATAATATTTTCCTCTTTACTTAAATAACATAATGAACAAAGTTGCAATTTAATTAAAACACTCATAACGAGTTCAAATATAAGAAAAAATCAAAATCTCAACATATTCATCACAACATATTTGTCAAATACCATCTAAGAATCTACTCCATGGAGGAGAATAAGTTTACTAAGAACAAAGATGAAAAAGAAGACAGAGCAACCAAACTCTAAATCCCAACTCCCGTTTTGAATTCGAGTAGTGTACCGTATGCTCCTTCTTCTCTTCTTCATAACCTAACATTTTTCCACTCTTTTATTGATAACTTCATTCTAGGGCATGTTCCAACATCATATAGCATAGAGTCATTCGTGAAATATCAAAAATATCCTTCTTTTAATATTCTCCAAGCCTCACGTCGGCGGAGGACCAGCAAATATTTTATGTTTCTGCGCGAGCGGGCAACAACTCTATTATGCTTCCGTGCGGGCACGCCACTAGGAACTTGAGTGCACGACTACTACAGAGGGGCAATATAATAGCTTAACATATGCGCATTTTTTTGTTCTTTTTCCTCATTTAGCACACCTGTACATATGAAAAGTAGATAATTAACTGTAAAGTTTGCATCCAAAACTTGTCAAAAGTGATCTCATTTTATTACCTATCAACGTCTTAGCAGAACGATGAACAAGTATTTTGATTAACTTAAGATATATGAAAACGATTATTCAGACCTTTTTGATTGCAATGGAGTTTATGGTAATGTGATTATTGTGAAAACTCTAAAAGATTTTCATCGAATGAGAGTTTAGGTTTTTGAGAATTAAGGCGCTGATTTAATTGTATTCAAGACAACTCCAAACAAAATCGATGCTCATGTATTTACATTATTGATCATACACGATATCCTATATCTTATATACTTTACTCATTTTCCTCTAAGTTGAAATTATATCATTTAGTTATGTGCGTAACTTGATTTTTTGTTTTGTATAGGCTTATGCTGAGAATCTTGAGGAAGAGGTTGTCAACATTCCTACTT